ATGCACGACTATGAGTACCCCCCCCCCCCCCTCGCCGCGCGCGCGTGTTAGGGGAGTGGTCGCGTCGATATCCATCCTCGTGTACCCGCTACACTCTCTCCTTTCACCGCGGACGACCCCGGCAACCACCGACAACATTGCAACAACAGCGCCTTCGGGCGGCTGGGGCGGGCGCCCCGTCGGCACGTACGTCGCAGCGGTGGGCCTGCCCTCGGCCGCGGTCTGGGCGTTCGCCGTGTGGGCTCAACGGCGGGCCGCGTGGGGGCTCGTGCCGGGGCTGTGGCTGGCCCTGTTCTGCGCTTGCGCGACCCTCAAGATCACGTCCTTCGTGGTGGCGGCGGCGGCGGTCACGCCCCCGCAAACGCCTCCTTCTCCGACGGGGTCGTCTTCGGATGCTAGTTCCGCGGCAGCGGCGGCGGCGGCCACCGGCCCGCGGTCCTTGACGTTCGGCGAGTACCTCTTCTTCCTGTTCCTGTCTCCGTCACTTGTGTGCGAGGTAGGTCATCTGCTTTTTTTTTCTTTGCTCTGATACCACCCCCCGCCCCGTCAAGGGAATGTTATCCGAGGCACCGACGTGCCCCTTGAGATGACGCCTCACTTCCTGCTGGAACCCGTTCCGATCGGGAGATTGCTCACAAGGAATGATTGACTTCCCCGTTGGCCAAAATTGTGGTTCAACTACCTCTATTCCAACTATTGGTGTACAGAGTCTGATGGTAGTGAGGATGTGAGAAGCGCTTGGTCATCACCCGAGGGTCGATCAAAATGGAAGGAGCCCTGTCTCCCTCAGGCGCCCGCGTTCGTGGGAAATGCTTCGCCTTCGAACACCTGAAGCAACCTACCGCGATGATGTATAAGGCTAAAGAGGCGCCCCCTTCGTGACTTCGAGAAATATTGACAACAGCAACATTCACCTATCCACATCATGAACCACAGCAACAACAACAACACTCCAACCATCTCCACCCCCGCCCACCCACCCCGTCACCACCAGGTGCGCCTCATGAAGGTCTCCGCTCGCCGCCCTAGCCGGCCCCTCCGCGCGGCCTCCGAGTTCTTACACGCCGTCCTCACCTTCCTCTGCGCGCATTGCGTCGTGGGCTCCATCCTCGCGCCGTCCCTGCGGCTCTTCTTCTTCGCCGTCCGCCCCGGTTGGGTGGAGGGCGCGGCGGCCGACTGGGCCGAGCTCGAGGCCGCCGGGGGGGCGGGGTGGCCGTCCTGGACGGCCGGGAGCGCCTTCCTAGCGGGCGGCGACAAGGAAGACTCGGGTACACGGACACATAATACGCGGCTTTGTTTGGCGTCGTAAGGTTCGGGGGNGGGTGTTGTTTTTGTTTTGTCTCCACCGGCCTAGTGTGAGGCAACGTGCTTGCGCTGTGGGCAGGAAAATGGGGAACGTGTCTTGCTAGCGGCGGACGTTTATTAGTATCTTCTTCTGTGATTCGTTGTTGTCCTTTCGGCCTCATAAGAAAGAGACGGCTACTTCCACTTGCTCTAATTACCTAAACCTCATCGACGGGATGCAGACCACAGGGCCCCCAGCTCAATGACGTGCATGCCTCCCGCGATGAAACCTGTTCTGCAAGCAGGTTTGGGGAAGCTGGTAGCGCTGGGTTGTTTCTTGTGGATGCTGGTCGGTGAGTGAGTCTGATAGTGACGACAAGATACGGAATGCAAACCCCCTTCTGTTTTTCAAATATATATATTTTTCTGAGTCTGATGAATTGTGGTGGCGGTAATGCGGACCTCTTCTGCTGCAATAAGCGGCACAAAATAGTCCCATTCTTCGCGCGAGTACGTCAAGTGTCGGATTTCAGGACCGAGTCTTGAAAAGAGTAGCTTGTTGTCTCTTGCGTTTGACTTGATTTCGAACGGAAACGACCTCGTCGTCAACCTTATTACCCCTCCCTACCCCCCGGTGGTTACCACCGGGGTTGGGTTTTCGCCGCTTGGCAACGACGTTGTAAAACAAGCCGCCCCCCCCGGTCTTCGCCATCGGGGTTGGGTTTTCGTCGCTTGGCAAGGACATTGTAAAACAAGCCCCCCCCTCGGTGTTTGCCATCGGGAGTGGGTTTTCGTCGCTTGGCAAAGACGTTGTAAAACAAGCCAAGTCACTTTGTGAACTCGGCAACCAGGTTACCGGTTTTTTTACCTCTGTTTTTTTTTTGGCGGTAACCATAAAGGTGGTCGAGTAGATCATGTTGTGCTGGGACGAGAACCCTCACGCCGCGCAAGGGGGATGATCGCACCACGTTGTGTTAATATGGTCAAGCACCCTCGAGGCAATCACACAGTGCTTACAACTGTCTCAGGAAGTGAAAGCACCAGAAAATAAATTAAGTCGTACGCAGCTGTCATCCGTACGCAAGGAAGTAAGCA